ATACTTGACTTCTGAATTGGGGTTTAAAATTCTTTAAAAAAGACAGGAAGCGAGAGAGGAAGGACAAAATGAAATAAAAGAAATACGGCTGATTTAGAGAAGATTAGAGTTGACTATTTATAGAGGAAACCCTTTGTTGACATTCAAGGCAATTTTAATTCAGAAATAAAAGAAAGACATAAAACGATCTTTTGTATGCTGGTTCCCAAATAAAACTCTGTGGGGTATTAATGTAGATATGAACTCATAAATAAGAAATATCAGTATGATATTATAGTCACACTTGTGTGGAGTCCAGATTTTACTTTAACCCTACAGTGTATGTCTATTTATAGACACCACACAAATCAGGTAACAATTACAATTAATTGGATCTTTCAACAAGTATCTTCATGTAGATGTTAAAAACATACTTGAAAACACTCATAACACATTAAATGCAACATTTTTTAGGATATGTGTATGCAAAAAAAACCTGGGAAATAATAGTCACATTGGGTTTAAGCATAAGATAATTCAGGCATTTTTAAGAGAAATGACATCAGGTCAATTGTCATGTAGAAGTGTTGACATATCGATAGACACACCAACAGAAAGTTTAGCATGAAAAAACTGAGGGAATGATTTTGGAACTTAGGGAAGTGCAGAGAATACTAGATGAAGGAACATAGAGAATTGTCGAAGATTGAGCAATTCCAAAAAGGAATAGACAGAGGGGTCGATATCCTGAACAAATACCAAGTTAGATCTAATATTGATCTGTAATATATCGGCTCGCTGGATGTAAAATGTACATCAAAAAGCTATTTAACTGCTGGAATATCAAAATGAAACCCTTCAGATGGGAAAAACATTGGCATTTTATGATTGCATCAAAGCCGATTCTATTTATAGATTTAGTCTGTAATCTGTCAAGTCTGACAGCTGTCAGAATAGAATAGAATGGAATAGAAACTAACATCATAAAGGACTCTTCGTCTAGGGTTGGAAAGAGTCTGAGTTATCTTTAAATGTCTAGAAATAAAAATTTGGTCCGTGGTACATTCCACACCATATATTGTCTACATGTCACCAAAGATCCGTGGTACATTCCACACCATATATTGTCTACATGTCACCAAAGATCCGTGATACATTCCACACCATATATTGTCTACATGTCACCAAAAAAGAAGGAAAGTTTCAACAACATGTTGATTAAATATCATGTGTTATTAAATATCATGTGTTATTAAATATCATGTGTTATTAAAGGGACATCACGTGAAAAGGCGTTTTTTTTTTAATGAATGTATGTATTGTATGCACTTCCACTTATGTTACAACGCTATCCCCATATTCATAGTCCGTTCCAAATGTCCAGTTTGACCACTTGAATTGTTCAGGAAAGCCCTGCTAAAAATAGCGCCGATAACGTCACCTGACTAGGCAGTAAACACAAGTGGTGCGAGCGAGATGAAACGGTTTCCAAAGAGGCCCCCAGAGAGGGGCCGTTAGGCAACTGCAACTTCTTACCGCACTATGAAACCAAGTTATATGATTTATAAGTCCGTATTCAAACTTATTGAACAGTAATTATTCATCATTAGAAGTTAATTGCACACTTGCCAATATTCAGAATTTAAATTTATTTAGCTTTAAACATAAATGTGTTGCCAATAAAATTAAACAAGGGATGGGGCACAAGTTTTTACAGCCTTCTCCCGTCATACATTTACAATTAAATGTCAACAATGATAATAGGCATAAACATAAAGTAGATATATTTAAATATATATTGAATTTAGTACCGGAATGTGGCCGGTACAGATGGTACGTGTCTAAACACCTTCCCTACACCAAGGGACAAACCTTTCTGATTTTTTTTATATGTTGCCGGGGCAGAGGAGGCCGGGTATTCATATTAGCACTAATTTAAATCTTGCATGTAAAAACAAAAATAATCGTTTAATTCAGCAATATAATTAAATCATACCATTTTATTGAACCCGGTAATATTATAAATTATGTAAATCCACGGACTTCGATAACACGTATCTCGGTGACCCAGAAAATACGCCGTGGGCCATCACAACAGTTATCCCTTGGAGGGCCTCATGGAAAAATCAAACTAACCAGTCACTTATCCCTTCCTTTCGCATAAACCACTGTATAATTATAGAAACACAAAGTAAACTCTCTCCAATACATGCCCATTAACATATTAAACTAAGTTCATCTGTGTTCAAACTCAGACAAAGATACTAGCGAGCTTAATAGTTTTAGATATTTATTCATAACATAAACAGCGCTAGCATTTCTGTCGATTCCATTTCAGCTTAACCGGCTATCCGGAAGAATACATGCACCGTACTAACTGCTACGGCAGTTATTTTCTCCTTTGAATACTGCCCACCTGCAATAATGATTCCGTAACGTACTCCTTGCGCTATCTTTTGACCATTTGGCAACTTTTCGTTTCGTAGCTGACACGGTACAACACTTTTCTTTCGCTTACTTCACACGGCCAGTCATTTTGTTTACAAAGAAATGGTGTGCTATGCGCATGCGCCAGTAGAGGGAAATCCCTGAACAAAACGTTGGTCAGACAGGTAGAAATACCGATGATTTTCTTAGATTTAAACATTTTTATGAATCTATTTCAGCCAAATCCGATCGTCATTTTCCATAAGGAGTCTCACTTGATATGTTTATGTAGTATTTGAAAAAAAGACAAAAAATAAAGTTACTTCACCGTGATGCCCCTTTAATACATTTAAAATGAAAAAATATGTTCCACTAGGATTTGGTTCGATATTAGTCTGTCAAGGTTAAAAGACACATGAAAATGAAATTCAAATCAGCGACATTTTTGTATGAATTTACCAAATGATTTTTTGAACTGAAACAAAATATGCATGTCTAAGGTTTTAACCAATCATATTTAAACAATGCCTACAAAAATATTGATATTTCTTCCAACAATTAAAAAAAAAAGTTGTATAAAGTTAATGCATTTGTTCTGTTACAGTTTTTATAACGAATAAACAATTGAGCATGTTGCAGCTTTGAGGTTGACATGTTCTTGTCAAAAAATAGGTTTGTTTCCCAAGTAACGGTTAATCAAGTAAGTGCATTAGACATCCGACAAACATATATCCCTGAATAAAGTTTTTGTTTAGGGACAATAGATAAACATCAATTAGTTTCAAAGACTTCAATCAGTTGCACTGGAGTGTTCATTGGAGTAGATGCGGTATGTCTATGACCAAACTGTTGAAGTAGTCGACAAAAAATCTAAATCTTTGATGGATCATTGTGTGATACATGTTCATTGACCCGTCTCTTCTAATTCCTGTCATTTCACATTTAGACTTTAAATTCGAGGGATGATACAGGCCTCTGTTACCTTTTATTCGACAATAGATCAGGAAACAACTGGACCAAATACCCGAAACATAACAAAGAACCCAAAGCCAAAGCAATACCAATTATGGCGGGGAAAAATTGCCAGGATAATATTTGGTGAAAGTTTGGAAAGCTTTTGGTGTTGTAAATCCTATGTTGTAATATATTTTTGGAAAAACTTCATAACAAAAACATCTATGTGTCCAAATGCGAAACAGTACACATTTAAAAATAAGAAAGAAAAATACTGAGAATCGTACAAGACTAAGGGTATAAAATGAATGAAAGAAATGTATTTTTTTGTGAAGAAGCTTACAAACCGTTGTATATATATGACACGGTCAGGAGAGGATTTATCGTCTCGTAGAGTGATCATGAGGTGACGTAGAGCATTGCTACAGAATGATCACAGATAACTAACTCTAGCCTTTGCAGATGCATTTAAAGTGAGATGCACTTTTGGCTTTGGAAAATATAAATGTTTTATACAATCACATTCTCCTAAAAATCCAATAATATCACATCACACGCGAAGCAGATTGAGGGTTTTCCCTTTGCCATGGACTCCGATATGACCGTCTGTCATGACTGTTGAAGAATCGTTATTGCAAATGTGCGGTTGGTTGAATGTCCACGTATCGATGTGGCACAATTATGGATATAGATGTCAATGTATCAGAAAGTGGCAATAAGGATCAGGGTGTGTAGTTTATTCAATTTTGAAACATTGCCAGCAAAAAAATGAAAAAAATGTGTTTAAATCCCATTAGGTTCAAACAGATATAAGACTCTTTGAGTGCTAAATACACACTTAAGTGAAAAAAATGTCTACACGAAGAAAGGTTTTGCATTACCTCATATTTCAACATTGCAGCTCTAGATTTTTGTTTGTACGTTGGTTTTAAATGATTATTATTGTCAACCTTAACGGTATAGAATCCACTTGATATGACTTGTCAGCATGCTGTACTAAGGTCAACATTTTACAGATACACAATACTGGATTAGCATTGTGGTTTCGGTCCTTACAAGTCAAAAGAAGACTGCCTGGATATTTTAACCTAAATTTACATGTAGCATCCTAACTCATGGTAAAGATACATGCTGCCTCTATTCAAAAAGTCTTGGTTTCACAAATAGAAAATCTGTAAAACAATTTTCATGATTTGGCTTAATTCTTTAAAGCACTAGCTGTTAGCTTCGACATAAAGAAAAATAATGAAAAGGTTAAAAACAAAAAACCGTTGTAGCTGATTTCTTTCATATTGTCCATTATTCTACAAATAATTTCCATCAAAGTACAAATTCCAAATAATCACACTTTATCAGAAAAGTTTGGTCTTTAAAACCTGTTTAAATTTCTGATAATACCCTTTCTATGATTTGAACAAATCTTCATTAAATATCTTGAGGAAATTGAAATCGTAACAGAAATGAATGTTTAGGGTAAATTTCTGACAATATCCTTTCTATGATTTGAACAAATCTTCATTAAATATCTTGAGGAAATTGAAATCGTAACAGAAATGAACATTTACGGCATTATAATCTGAAATGTCATGATGTATTCTTAGCCAGAAGACCATTACTGTAATACACTTTGCTTCCAAAAATATGTAACTGAGTTAGGAAGACCATTAGTCTGGAAACTGACTTCCCTTTGAAGCTGCACAGATCATGATGTTTCTGTCGATCACAGCTGTCTTCCCCTTGAAGCTACAGATCATGATGTGTCTGTCAATCTCAGCTGACTTCCCCTTGAAGCTACAGATCATGATGTTTCTGTCGATCACATCTGACTTCCCCTTGAAGCTACAGATCATGATGTGTCTGTCAATCTCAGCTGACTTCCCCTTGAAGCTACAGATCATGATGTTTCTGTCGATCACAGCTGACTTCTCCTTGAATCTACAGATCATGATGTTTCTGTCAATCACAGCTGACTTTCCCTTGAAGCTACCGATCATGATGTTTCTGTCAATCTCGGCTGACTTCTCCTTGAATCTACAGATCATGATGTTTCTGTCAATCTCAGCTGACTCCCCTTGAAGCTACAGATCATAATGTTTCTGTCAATCACAGCTGACTTCCCCTTGAAGCTACAGATCATGACGTTTCTGTCAATCACAGCTTACGGAGATCGAGATCTCTTTACCACACAAAACCTGAAACTGAGTTACTGAAGATACCAGGACGTTTTTTTGTAAAACTTTGACGGGTCCCAAGAGGTCTGCATTGCCCTGCTTCATTACAATTGTTTAAATCCTTGTTGTTTATTTTTGATTTCCATGTGGTTTTAATTTCTCTGTCCATTAACAGTTTGTAAAGTAGTGAAAATGGGGAATCACTAAAGAAAGAAAGCCATATTCTAGTTCTCTGAAACATTGTTATGTTCAAAGTATAGAGACCCTGCAAAAGGTGACTATCAATGAGATTTATGAGAAATATGAGTTTGTTGTAAGAAATTTCGACGGTTAAATATATTATAAGTATTCTTTCTTAAAAAAACTAAGTGCTCTCTCATATTTGGAAGATATTTTTGTTTCTATTTTCCATCTATCAGTCTGTTTGCTTGCATGAATTGGCTACCATCATTGTAATGATCTGTCAAAATTAATTTCTATGGAATTTATTTAGAACTTTTTATTATTTTCTAGTTAACACTTCCATTTACCTAAGGGGTACATGCTAACTTTGACACCTGTGTTTTGTGTTAGGTATCTTTCATACGGTTATATGTTATTTTATTCACCTGTGATTTGTGTTAGAGTTATCTCCCTTAATTATATACTATTCTTAATTCAACTGTTATTTGTGTTAAGGTTATACTTCTCAGGCATATATATTTACTACCATATATATATTATACCTGTGCCTTTGTGCTAGTTATCTCCCCTTCAGATTAAGGCATATTCACCTGTGATTTGTGTTAAAATTATCTCCCTTGAAGCATTTGCAGCATTTCAATAATTTAAATTACCTCATCATAATCAATCAGTTCAGTCATTTGTAAGCCTAAATACCCTGTGAAATGATTGGATTTTTTTTTATGGTGATAACATTTCTGTGCAGAAAAGTTTAGAAATATTTAAAGTTGTTTTTGTGATTGTTAACATTTCTGAATAGATCAGTTTGTAAAAACATCCAAAAGTACAAAGTAATTGATAAAAGAATAATAAATGGCTGGAATTTGAAATTGAAGTGGCTTTGCATGTTTTACATATGGATGTTGAGGGTGTTATTTCAGATATATGTAGTACTTCACATTATAAGACTTGACTATGAAAAATTGGTTGTACATTTCCAGATTGTTATTACCTTCTTGAGAGAGGAACAAGGTTTGGAAATTAACGATATAATTTCTTCCATTAAGTTCTTAATTTATCACATAGAGGGAAGGTGAGAGGGTACACTACTTATAATATAAGGATTGTTTCTGTTTTAAAAATAAACCAGCTCACAAAATTAAACCATCTGAGCTTAAAACTTTGTGCACTTAAGCAGGTTACAAATACTGAAAATGTACTTAATTTCAGTGGAGTTCTCATTTTAACGATAATTTGAATATTAACTTTTTACTTTGTAATTAAGTAATCCAAGCACACAGCGAAAAGTAATTAACAAATGTCACAGAACATTGGATTTTTCAAATGTCAAATATGTTAAAATCTTTAAACAACTTCTGAATAACCAAGAGACCTAGGGTGATGATATTTGGCCAGTAACATGTTGGGATGAAGGGCTACCAAGTTTGTTCAAATAAATGACCTTGACTTATATTCAAAGTCACAGGGGTCAAATATGTTTAAAACCTTTAAGCAACTTCTTATGAATAACCAAGAGGCCTAGGGTGATGGTATTTGGCCAGTAACATGCTGGAATGAAGGGCTAACAAGTTTGTTCAAATGAATGACCTTGAATTATATTCAAGGTCACTGGGGTCAAATATGTTGAAAACATTTAAACAACTTCTTCTGAATAACCAAGAGGCCTAGGGGGATGATATTTGGCCAGTAACATGCTGGAATGAAGGGCTACCAAGTTTGTTCAAATGAATGACCTTGAATTATATTCAAGGTCACTGGGGTCAAATATGTTTAAAACCTTTAAGCAACTTCTTCTGAATAACCAAGAGGCCTAGGGGGATGACATTTGGCCATTAACATGCTGGGATGAAGGGTTACCAAGTTTGTTCAAATTAATGACCTTCGCCCATATTCAAGGTCACAGTGGTCAATATATGTTTAAATCTTGAAATGATTTGTTCTGTATAACCAAATAAGCATTCTGGGTTGGAAGACTATAAAATCTGTTCAACCTAATGTCCTTGTTCGACATTCAAGGTCAGGGGCGTCATGTTTAAATCTTTTAATAGGTTCTTATTTATCAAACACTGATATTCTGCCTGTAGTTGTATTTTAGTCCACTTTTAAGATTATACAAGTGTGAGATTAATATACCAGGTGAGCGATTCAGGCCCATTTGGCCTCTTGTTTTTTTATAAATCTCTTTCATTTTCTCTTATCCTTATTTTTTACGATTGTGAAAAATTATAACTCCTTTATGCAGAAACTATTTATAGCCACAATGCAATAAAAAAAATAAGTAAAAACTTTACTTACCCTTTTTCTTGATGGTTGACCTTAAACAGGAAGTTAATTTTGCTTGGCCTTTACTCTTTAATAAATATGATTATGATTACTAAATAAATCATCAATTTTAACTTTTGGTCTGCTTTGAGCCAATCATAGAATTACAGGGATAATTTATCTTCCCGGTTAATTTTGAAGTGAACGAAGATGTTTTCTTAATAGCTAGGTCTGAGGTTATGTTATGTCTTTTGTTGTAGGGCTGGTAAGAAATGTTATTTCAATTAGCATCTTTTGTTAATGGATCTCTTAGTAATAAGGAAAAGTCCCAGAATTAACCAAGAGGAAAGACATTCATTACAGCGGAAAAAGAATAGTTTTTTTATGGTAGGATTCTTGTTAAGAAAATATTATTACGGTGAAATCTTAAAAGGGAGTTAATTTATGAGATAGAAATTTATACAATGGAAACCTTTATGTATTAGCACTACAGAAGGTCCAAGTTCACATGGAAACGTAGAGAAATTAACCGAATTAAAAAACAACCTGTAGTAATGAAATGTGTGAAAGCATTAGCTCTAATTCTGGTGATGACGGTAACCAAAGAAAAAAAACGAACATAAATTTCATGAAGTGCATGCTCTTTGGAGGCATGAAATAAGGACGTTCTTCATAATAAAGGCCAACATTTAATCATTTGTTCACATGTTGAAAGTTAGACTGTAACATATCAGACATGATGACCTTGGCACCAAAACTCCATTATTACTGTATAGAGAATGCTATTATTTGTTTTGATGTTGAATGATATAAAACCCTGACACATAATGTTTCAAACTTTATCACAATTTCTGTGAGAACTCGGTGGTAAGTTACCTGTGATTGCAGCTTTAATGTTTTGTTTATGTCGTAGGATAAATAAACCATCTAAAAATCTGGATACTTTTCTCACCTCACAATAGAGGAGAGTTCCTATTGATGCGACTTTCATTGTCACTTACATCTATAGCTAGATGCGGGCCTGTTTGGACTGTTATACATCCGGTAGGGGTTCCTTAATATTATAAGGTCGGCTCCCGACTCAAAGTCTTCACCCTATGCTTAATTTCTGTGCTAACAAGAAATAATGACTGATGATAGACTTGCACAAGTCCGTTTTATATGTGTATACATTTCTTGATCCAGATAAAACATATACATGTATATATTAAGTGTCAAAGAGTTCACACAATTTTTTTCTTGTTTTTATAGATTTTTTTAGTCTTTGAATATAAAATTTGTTGAATAGACAAAATTACTGAAATTTTAAATGTTTCATCATAAGCAGTCAGAAAGGAATGATTTAAGGTATACTTAATCTTATTGTATTGAAAAATTGAATTTCATGATGTGAAGTTTCTGATGTAAAATTGGCGAAATTTCCCCCAATTCACAAGAAAGATAACTTTCCCTGAAGCCTTAATTTGTCCATGTGTTTCATATCTTGCAGTGCAGATGTAAAAATGGATTATATAATTTGATTTTATTGATTGTGAAAACATTCATTGATTTCTGATAACACACCTGAAAGATATATGTTGCATTAATTGTTCTGCAGATATGTTAAACACGAAAAGTCACATGTTGTATTAAATTGATATCTTTGACCAATTAAAGGGAGAAAAATAAGCACACTGACATACCTATTATGCTATTAACTCCTTTTCCAAACATACATATAAGAAAAAATTTGATACACAAATCTTTTAACTTCTCAGACTTTCTTCTTTAAGTTATTCATAATGAACCTCTCAGTTCTCCATTGACTTGAACTCGGTGTCCATTAACACAGAGCCACTTCTACGCTTTTAACAATAAGTTTATCTAATTGTTTGTAGAGATTTGATTACAACTTCCGTGTTACAGAATAGCGGCAATCACCGTGTAATAACATTGATGATTGGTTAGAGAAAGAGCTGTAAGACGGTCATTTCCGTTATTGATCTTGGAACACGATCTCTCATCTTTCAATTAAAAGTACTGTTAGGTTGAAATATAGCAGGAATTTTGTTTTTCCAAATTTGAAAATCTTTAAAATAGTTTGCTTGCATTTTTATATTGATCATTTTTAGGCAAAAATATTTAAAAAAACCAGAAGAATTCTTTGATAATAAAAGTTGTTTTGTAAAGTTTTTCAAGAATATGTGTACAATGATTCGTCATATAACCATGGTTGCCATGAGCCTCGAGACATATTTTAAGACACAATTGACTCAGTCTTGCCACCAGTTGTCGTCCTATCCTAACATTACGTCACCAGAGAGTAATTATCTTGACTGTGAGTTCAATGACATAAGTGTATCAGTACGGTCATCAATTCCATTCACTCACAATAGACCTTAAATCAATATTTACGTAATGTTCCTAAGAGGTCTA